TGTGTGTGTGTGTGCGTGTATGTATAATATATTATACTTTTTTAAAAATAAGAAATATCTACCACTACTAGCTTGGTCTATGAAACACACATTTACTCTTTCTTAGTCATAAACTTGACGGTGAGCTGACCTACCTAACTTCAATCATTATGCAAAAGCGGGGAAATTTTACACTCTTCCAGAAACACGATCACCCATTCCTACCGAGTTTAATTTTTTGGCAAAAAAAGATGTATCATATTTTGTTGGTGTATTATTAGTAGACCTCAAGACACCCCCCCCCCCTTCCCCGCCTTCGAACCCCTAGAAAATCCCCAAAAAATTCACAAACATTTCCACCATTCCACTATTTTTTTAATATATTTTTTTTAAGACCTAAGAAAAACCAACACTTATATACAGTTGAACTCGGATTCAACGAGGTCGTCGGGCCTGACTTAAAATCTCGTTGAATCCGAGTGTTCGTTATAGCATACACAAGGTTTTGTGTAGATAATTACAGCAGGCATTGAGCAAGTAATGTATAAAGAGAAGTCAAAAGTAGTGCCTGAAAAGCCTGCGTATTTTGAGCACACTCCTGTATCATCTCGATTGTTTACCAAAAAGCTATGTTGCTGTGTAGAGCCTAGCATAACAGCAACTTTTGATTCCCTAGACGAGTGCGCAATTCATTATTGTAACAATGATCAGTTGCCGCGGGGAAAAAAGACTGAAGCGTTTGTATCTGCGACATTCAACGCCCGGACCGCTCGTTGAATCCGGGTTACTTTTATTGATTTTAAAAAGGAAAAAAAAAACCGAGGCATCTGTCTCATCTCGTTGAATCCGAGTTCTCGTTGAATCCGAGCTCGTTAAATCCGAGTTCCACAGTACACAAAGAACAATGGACTAATCTTTAGAAAGGAATCACATCTCCAGTGTAATCGAGAAGCTTCCCAGTGCCCTCTTCACCTTGTAATCCAATCACCTGAAGGCAGGCAGAAATGCTTTCTTCTGGGGAAATATCGCCTTTTTCTGTCCCCAAGTCTGTACGTACCCAGCCCGGGTGAAGTGACAAAACTAAGATACCAGCTTCTCTCAACTCTCGAGAGATCAAAATAGTGGCCATAGTCTCCGCAGTCTTTGAGCATCTGGAAAAAAAAAGTAGACAAGAGAAAAATCTTAATATGTTTTTTCTGTAAACATATTGACAGGACAATTCACTGCTGAAATACTATCTAGCATTTGTTGAAACTTCATGTCTATGAGGAGCGTAGAGTAAACTTTTACGAAAATAAAGCATCTCCTGGTCCAGAGAATTTAATAATATGTCTTATTTGAACACAAAAGGTGAAAAAATGATTGTGGCGTGGGAGGTCCAGATGATCAAACAATGTAAAGGTAGCTTGTGAGTGTATGGCTATCGGATAGTAATATACAGTCAAACGTCGTTATACTGCCAACCTTGGGATGAGCATGAAGTTGCTGGTATAGACGGGCTGGCAATATAACTCGGTTCTTAGTGCTGTCCTCTGTTAAATAGCCTTGACAGCCCCCAAGTGTCAAGGGAAACAGTTCTGCTGTGTGATATGTGTTCAAAAAGTCGATGGCTGGGCGCAAGAAGTGTCTATAATATATCCACTTTTGATCAAAACTGAGTTGTCGACATGGGTAGTGAGATTTCCAGCTGCTCTTTTACCATTGTAAATACAAGTATCTGAGCCGTAGCTTTATTCGGTATAGAGATGTTAACGTTTCTCTTTTTATTTTAAAAATAAACATTTTGGAAAAAGTTATAGAGATTTCAATATCGCAATATCCTCAAAATTTCAAACTCGTTTTTCTCGATACTGCGAAAACTGGATAGTCACTTCTTGCGCTCAGTTGTGGAAGTGTTTCGTTTGGTTTTTCTTGTACAGTCCTATACAAGACACTCACCTGCACAAAGGACCACTTCCTACTTCCCCTTTTACAATCTTCCTATATCATAATGACACAGACCAAGGTGTCCACCTGTCAAAGACAATCACTTTTCTCCTCGACTGTGGACGGTCGTCGTAGACAATTTCCTCTAATTACAGCTAAGAGTCTTCTCTCTATGAGCCTTCTCTCTCTCTCTCTCTCTCTCTCTCTCTCTCTCTCTCTCTCTCTCTCTC